CTGAATGAGGTCATTGATGGATGTAGAAGTGCTTAGGAAAATGCTTGGTTATCCGTTGTTCATGGAGGTAGTCTTTATAACTATCTAGGAATGTATTAGAAAAATAGAATGTCTATGGGATAATATTGGGGAAAAATTTTAGGAAATTTAGTTTATCCTAATATATGTAGGGTTAATACTCTTACTGTGGAGCAGCTGTGTGTTCAGACTGTAATCTCAATTTTTAAGTGTAGGAAGAATTAGTAATCAATTACTTAATGCATTCTGGATTTGTGGTGATTCAGGAAAACCCTTTCCAATTTTGAGACTCTTATAATTCTCTTCTGATATTTTTCATTTTAAAAATTCATAATTGTATATTAAATTTTTGAAATTTAGAGATGTTGTGCTTGGAAAAAGTTAAGGAATTGGATCCAACTCTATTTTTTCCAGAAGGATACCTACTTATTGCAATTTTTAAAATTATAAACATAGTTATTCTTTAATTTCAGAAGCTATCATGGCATGTTTTTCAATGTTGTAGCTAAAAGTCTCCTTTGTGTTATTTAGGTTCCTGAAAGTTCTGAAAAAGAAGAACGTCCATTGCATGAAAATTGCATGTTGTGGGATGAAAATGCCAAGCTGAGACTGGAAATAGACACAGCAAAAAATCAGAAGCAAGAAATGGAAAAAGAACATTTTGAGGACATTGCAATTGTCAACGAAAAGAATGACCATCTTCAAAAGACAATAAGAGAAACAGTATTTCAACACAATGAGCAGTTTGAAGTTCTGAATGTTGAGAATACTGTGCTAAACAGTAAACTGGAGGATGAACAACAAAACAGAGGAAGACTGGAAGCAGAAGTTGAATCATACCAGTCTAGACTGGCTACCGCTGTACAGGATCATGAGCATTGCCAGACATCAAAAGGAGACCTACAACTTGCTTCCCAGAGAGCAAGAGATGAAGGGTTTTCTGCGGGAAGGTCATTCTACAAACCAGTTGAAGTAGGCATATCTTTCATTTTTTCTCACTAGGAAATATTATAAAAGCATGGAAATGTTCAGATCATTGTAATATGTACATCCACAAATGACAACTAAAAAAATCAATTCTAGATCCACTAATGGATATTTTTAAAATATTGATATAATTCACACATTGTATAAATTATATGATTCAATATTTTAAACATATTCAGAGAGTTGTGCATCTATCACCTCAGTCAATTATATAATATTTTTATCACTCCAGAAACAAACTCCACACCACTTAGTAGTAACTACCAGTTCCTTGCAAAAACCAGTCTCATTTCTGTCTCTATTGATTAGCTTATTCTGGATATTTCATATATATATGCAATCACAGAAGTTATAGTCCTTTGGACTGGCTTCTTTCCCTTAATCTCATATTTTAAAGTGTGTCCACATTATGGCACATAACAATATTTTATTTCTTTCTTTTTATTGCCAAACAATACTTCATCATGTGGCTCTTTCACTTATCCATTTATCAATTGATGGAAATTTGTATTGTTTTCACTTTTTGGCTGTTAGTAATTCAACTATGAGTATATTGTACAAGTCATGGTGTGAACATAGGTTTTTCTCTTGTTGTCATGGGATTTATTTTTTTAAATATACTTTATTGATTTTTTACAGAGAGGAAGGAAGAGGGATACAGAGTTAGAAACATCCATGAGAGAGAAACATCGATTCAGCTGCCTCTTGCACGCCCCCTATTGGGGATGTGCCTGCAACCCAGGCACATGCCCTTGACGGGAATCAAACCTGGGACATTTCAGTCTGCAGGCCGATGCTCTATCCACTGAGACAAACCAGTCAGGGCGTTGTCATGGGATTTTTATCCTCTGAGATAACTGGGCTGATTTCAGCACCTCTCAGCCTTTACTCATGCTGTCCATTCTGTCTTTTCAGTTTCTTTCCCTCCTGCCTCATCCTATATCTATTCAGACCTGGCTCCCAATCTCCCCTCTATGAAGCATTCTCTCTTTCAACTCTCAGTGACCTCATTCATTTCTGCACTTGTCATCTCATTTGTGTGGAATGCTTTAGCCCTGAATTCCCCATTGTCTTAATTTTCTTCCCAAGATATAATCTTGTCTTTGTATGTGTTAATTTGTCTGTGGGGGATATTATTTGATATAAGTGTACCTATCTGTGTATACATTGAACACATTTGAGCTTACCTATTGTTAAGATACAACTAAATACTTTATATCACTGGCAGTTTTGGAATTCAAACTAAGATATTTGATCAACACAATGTTGAGGTAAAGAGTCTGCATTGGCAAGAAGAAGATAGCTCTAGCTTTCCCAAGCCTTCAAACAATATAGTTGAGATAACATGTGAAAAGAACTTCAGAAGATTTTTATTGGTCAGGTCTCTATGAAATAAGAATGTATTATTATTTTTAAAGGCAAATAATTGACAATCTGCCACTTGCAAAAATAACACTTGCATTATAAGAGAAAAACAAGACAGAGAATGCTGGTCAACATCCTAAGGATGAAGGTGCCCCCAGACTCAGAACACAACAGTAGTACACTCACAGTAACGCCAATAAGAATAAACATAAAATGTACAAGCTTAGCAATCTACAAGGGCGATCCAGGTCACTCATGGTTTATGAGTGTGTGGTTGAGGATGTTGTTTATGAGGAGCAAGAAGGGAGAAAGAAAAGTACAGATGACCTCAGTAAAGGGGTCAAGGCTAGAAATGTTGATTAGGGAATCTGGTTTGAAGTGCTGAGATTGAAGTATCTATGAGAGATTTTTAAGAAGGGAATAGACTGCTTTCTGGAAGTCTGTTTCTATTTTGCTTGGTAGTTCAGTTTGTTCATTAAATTCCATATATGTGTAAAATCATATGGTACTTGTCTGCTGCTTGCGGTGGTGGTGTTGGGGGATGGTGTAGGGATGGAATAAAAAGAGAAAAAATTAGAGAGAACTCATGGACATGGACAACAGATGATTTCCAGGTGTGTGATGGAGTTGGGTGGAGATGGAAAAGGCCATAGAGGGGATACATTGTGATGGAAAGAAAATAAAAAAGAAGTGAGGTAGAAAAGAAATTAAAAATAAAATTGTAAACCAGGGCGATGAACCTATGAAAGGCCAATATAATATTCTATCTTCTTTTGTTTGTTAGAAATTTTCCATACTACAAGGTGAAAAAACACCCTATTGTCTTTGGTGACCACTGTCTCTAGCCACTGCTGGACTGGAGCTCCCCTAATTTATTCTTCAGAGTATTCCTCTTCTGTGTATGTCTGGGAGTTGATCCTATCAGCTTTCTGCCTTTTAGGGATTCTTTGTTAGATGTTATTATCTTTCTGTTCTTTTGAAATTCCTCATAATTTCTGTTGTATTGATTATATACTTATTTTCTTATGCTAAGTACATAATCTCTAGCCCTTATCTTTAGCTTAAGTATTCAAAACAAAGGTCATCAAATTGTAAAACCAGGTATTGAGTTTCTTAAACTTGTTACATCTCCCTTCAACCTCAATCAATGTAGTTCTAGTCTATGGCATTCAGTAGGGTGAAGAAAAATAAACATGCTACCACTTCTTTCAAAACCAAGCAAAAATAAATAAATAAAAAAGCAATAGACAGAGTGGAAGACTGTATATCATGTTTACTGTTTAGAAATGAAGTGCAGTTGAAGGACTGGAGGGACAGTGTGTATATGATCACTGTTATCAGTCGCTGCTGAGAAGTAAAGCATTAAAGGACTAAAAGAAGATGACTCTCCAAAAAATTTTAGTGAAATTATAGAATTGATAGTCAGCTTCTTATGTAAAAAAAAAGAAAGAAAGAAAGAAAAAAGATTGAGTGGTGAAAATATGAATATATGGGTGAGACCTTTGCATTAAAAAAATGTTATATTTAATGGGTGGGGACAACAGGATGACAGAAAAAGCTACAAAAATCAAGTAAAAGTTATGATTTTATGTAACAGAGAAGACATTTTATTTAAAGAGGAAAGTGTTTAACAGAAAAGTAGAAAATGAAACCTATGGAAGAAAGATTACAGAGAATGAGATTCTACCTCATCCTAAAGTCAGATTACCACCATAAGGTAATGGGGACTGCATGGGAAGCTTTCAAAGATTACCTTAATAAGATGTGATTTAATTGAACCTGGAATATCTTGAACTATTGATGAAAATGTTTCTAGGGCATCTTTAGAAACTAAAAGGTCAATGTAGCCTTAAAAAGTATTTTAGCCCTTAGTAATTTATATATCAAAACCTCTGTTTTCACAAACTTTGGCAATTTAATTTCCATAAAGAAAGTGGTGAAAATATAAAATCAATTTAAGCTGCTGTAAGAAGTCATTATTTTTTAAATCTGTCCTATTGGCATCAAGTTTATAAACTAGATTTTATAAACCTGTCTACTACCATTTATAAACTTGTGTACGCATGTTATTCATGAATTCATTAGAAATCATATTTTTAAAAAAGTAGAGTCTCTAGATTTTTAAAAATAATTTTCTTTAATTTTTTTTTTAAAAATGTCAGCACAAAAAAGAAGAGTTAAAGAAATATATTGACTTAAATATATTTCTGCAGCAGAGGTTGCAGCAAGAAGTAAATGAAATTGGTGATTTAGAAAAAGAGATTACTCGGTAAGATTTTAATATTTCAGAACATTTCTGCCATGAATTAAGATTTAACTGTCATTTTACTTTATTAAAAATAAAATTTATTTCCTCTGTAAATTTTTATAATTAAATTATCCTATTTAAAAACTTACTGGAGAATCACACATCACAATCTGAAACTGCTTTGAAGGACATGATATTGTACTTACCTTTTTATGATTCGTAAAACCATAATGAGGATGCCTTTTGCATATCCTGTCAACTGTTCTTTTCATGTCTACCTTGAATTTTTAATTCTGCAACATATCTGCTCTCTTTGGTGATATTCCCTTCTTCTCATAGTGTGCATCCCTTCTGCACTCAAATCTATCCTATCTAATAATAGACAAACATGGTAATTAACTGCAACTTCGCTACCCTTCCCATTGGCTAATCAGCGAGATATGCATATTAACTGCCAACCAAGATGGTGGCCAGCAGCCAGGCAGCTGAAGCGAACAGGAGGCTGGCTTGCTCCAGTGATGGAGGAAGCCAAGGTTCCCCACCTGCTGCTGCCGGCCTCTGAGCTGCACTCTAAGCAACTATGTTGCAATTATAGAAGCTAAACAGAGCCCAGAAACCTGCTTTCAGCCAGCCGGTCCTCAGAGCTGGAGCTGTAACAGTGTTTCAATTATAGAAGCCAAACAAAAGCAGATACCTGCTTTCAGCAGCCGAGGTCTCAGAGCTGGAGCCAAGCCTCAGAGCTAAAGCCATCCCTCAGTTCCAGTGACAGCCATAGAAGGCAAATAAATCCCAGAATCAAAAAAAAAAAAAGAAAAAAGGAGAGGTTGGGAGCTTCAGTCACCCGCCAGCCTGAAAACGGCCCTCAGGCTCTCACCCAAACTGGCCAGGCACCCCAGTGGGGACCCCTACCCTGAAGGGGGTGTGACCAGCTGCAAACAGCCATCATCCCCTCATCCAGGCTGGCCAGGCACCCAAGCGGGACCCCCACCCTGATTCGGGACACCCTTCAGGGCAAACCAGCCTGCCCCCACCCATGCACCAGGCCTCTATCCTATATAGTAACAGGGTAATATGCAAACTGACCCTAACAGCAGAAGGACTGGGACTGGCTGGTCACTGTGACACATACTGACCACCAGGGGGCAGATGCTTAGTGCAGGAGCTGCCCTCTGGTGGTCAGGGTGCTCTCACATGGGAGGAGCTCTGCTCAGACACAAGCCAGGCTGATGGCTGCCAGTACAGCGGTGGTGGTGGAAGCCTCTCCTGCCTCCTCAGCAGTGCTAAGGATGTCCAACTACAGCTTAAGTCTGCTCCCCGCTGGCAAGTGGACATCCCCCGAGGCTGCCAGGCTGCCAGAGTGATGTCTGATTGC